TCCTTTACTCTTACTGTGTGCGTAGTTTTACTTGTTGTGGAAGTACTGTATGTGTGAGGAGGGAGAGAGGGGCAAAAGGAGCCAAACATGGGTGGGAGAAGGAGCAACTGCTGCAGAACTTCGAGGGTTTTGAGAACACTTGAGGGGAAAACCCACAAATGTCAAAGCTTATGTGAGGCATGGAATGAATAATTTGGGAAAAGTGGCCTCAAAGGCTCAATTTAGTATTTCAGTATATTATGGTGAAAATTAATTGCAAATAGATCATTAGATTTTCACTTTGCTTAGCATGATCATAGGTGGATATTAAGAGCATGAACAAACCAAATCTGAGAGAGTTGCTTAAGGTCAAGGTTACGGTGAGTACTGTGCTTGGTTTTGGATGTAGTTTGTTTTTCTAGGCATTTTCCTCAAATGAACCCACTGCTGGGTTTATTAACTCAAGTTTAAATCCAGATAAAAATCTAAGCAGCATTTTTCATACATGCACATTCATTGCTAATGGTGCATCATGGTGATTGCTAAACCTTAGGACCTAAGGATTGCTAAACCTCAAGACTTAAGAGGCAGCATAGGTAAGATTGTCACTGAAAATTTCACTTGCCTTATTCATATATGCAAATGATGATGATCTCTGTGAGGAAACTGTTGTTTTATCATGAAATTAAGACACTTGGCTTGGTCCTAACAGTTGGGACTGATTGGAACCAGATATCAGATGCTGGAAGTCAAGAAAAGCCAAATGCAAGTGCTGGAAAGGTCAAGGATAGTAGCAAGGCCTAGGTTAAGAGATGTGGCCAGAGATTAGGCAAGGAATCCATACTGCAAGGGGCATGAAGTGCCTAGAGCAATTGCAGACTGGCAGCAATAGCAACTAAGATTCAGGCCTAAGCATACAGGAGACAGAAAAATGTAATTGAAGCTAAGGAGGTAAAGGAGAAAGAAGCAAACCAAGTTTGGCTTGGCTTAGCTTAGCCAAGGGACATGTTAATCAGCCGAAGTCATCATCCTGATTGCCTTGTATTTGTAAGTGCTAACCCTTAACTTCCCCTGTGATGAGTCAGGCTTGGTAAGTCTTTGGTCTTGGCAAAATCTGACTGATAGGAACTCTGTCTCATTCTGTTGCTGCATGGCCAGCAGCCTTTCTCTTTCTGTTCACTGGGATGCAGGGTTTGGGTACAGGGATGTAGGTTCATACCACACTCCCCTTGATTAAGTGTCAGGAATTTTCAGGTTTAAGTCCTCCATTTCTGATTTTTAGCTATTATGGAGTCTCCATTCATGGAACTCTTCATCTATGTCCTGGAGGTCAGATATAAAAATCTGTCATGCAACTGCCTTCTCAGGAGAAGCTTCAGATGACCTGAGGAATAGCGCATTCAAAGCGAAGAAACCTGTCCTTTTTGACCCTCATAAATGTAAATGATTACATAAAGGTCCCTGCATCAAGTCAGGTGTTAGCAGGATCAGATCTGGAACCAATGGAGTTTCCTTTTCTTGCAGAGCCTTCTTCCTCCATTCACCAACCCAGGAGACTGAGTCAGTAGCACTGAACTCCAATCTATTTGTCCTCAAGCCTTCCTTACTTCAGGGACAGGCAGACAGTCTTTCTCAGTCATTAAGTGGCCAGTTAGTATCTTAATTGAATATTCTCTTCCTCTTGAAAGCCTTTTGTCTCTCTGCTGCCTGCAGTCTTCAGGCCTTGCAAATCCACTTGTCTCTGAGCCTGAAAGGGCTTCTCATCCCCTTGGCAAAGCAGCCTTCTGCAGAGTTCTGTCTTCTCCCTATTATACAGTGTGTGCTTCCAGTTCACTTCCAGTGTGGCCAGGCAGAGGCTGCGATATCCTGCAACTATTGTAAGACTGAGTAGTTGCCAGCATGCATTTCCACAGCAGGTGGTTCATCTTCTCTTTTCCCAGTGTGCAAATGTCAACTGTAGGTCAAGTGACATCTTTCCCTGTCTTTATGTATATTTATATCATATGTGTGTGTGTACATAGACATAAATAAAATGGGTTTATGTGCTGTGTAATGAAGCCTTGCACAGGTTTTTAAGAAATTCAGAGTGAGTGCAAATAATCTACATCTGTCAGAATTCTGTGTGGTTGTAACCTCCAGAAAGGATGTGGAGCAAACGAGATGGGGAGAGGTGATTGGCAGCTAGTATGAGGAATGAATGGTTCTCCACTGCTAGTTGTCTGGAGACCAGGAAGCCAGGTGTAGACCTCTGCAACATGAAAACACAGGTAGTAATTTGTGGAGGTACATATATTTGTACTGATTAGGCTTCTTTTATAACTAGCCAGTGAAAGCCAGTCATGGCTTCATTAAGGTTGTCATTAAACATGTTTAAAGATGATCATAGCAGTGTTCTGTAAGAAACTTGGCAGGGGGCGGGGGGGACGGACGACACACAAAACACGTTACCTAAGTTTTGATTCGGCTCTTTTGCCATCCACGCAGAAAGTCCCATGATTAATTCAGTAGGTGCTTTGTCCTGAGTTGATTCTATGTGGCTGTGGAGGCAAGTGAGAGACTTTTCTGTGCTTTAGCCAGGAGTGGAACTGCCAGCCTTGCAGGGGTCATGAAGTGCCCTTCTCTCAGTGCTACTGGAAGGAAGAATGGACATTTCCTTCCACAGCTGATGGAGATATGGTCCCCAGGAACCTTGGTGCAAGAATGGTAAGATGTGGAAACTGCTAAAAGGTGCAATAACATATGTAGTCTGAAAGATGGTTGTATCTGGGTTAGTTCGCTTACTGGAATGAGCCATGTTGTGAAGACGTAGCCAAGTGTTTCACACTTATGGATTAAAATTTGGAGTTCTTCAAATTGCTTCTGAAGCTGTATTGACTTTGCAGTAATATCTTTTTTAAAGTAACACAGAAAGAAATCTGACTGGGCAATTTCTCTGTTTTCGGTGCATGACTTGGGGCACAGATGGAGAAGGCTGTAAATTCTGGAGGAGTATTGGAAATAAGAGGCTACTACTATGTGACAGGAATCTCCAGTTGATTAAAATCAAAGAATTCCCCAATTACCACACAGTCACAGCCCTTCTTAAGTTACCCTTCAAGGAAGGAAAAAATCAGAAGCAGGGCTGTGGGCTAGCCTCTGGTCTGGGGAAAGAACTCTTCTTTAAGGACTGTCTCCAGTTCTTCTATACCATAGGTACTTCCTTTCCAGACCTTTTTCCCTGACAAAAAGAAAAACCTTCCATATCTTCAAAGCCTTCTGTCTTTGTAACCCTCCTTAAAGCACCACTTTGAAATGGTCTCTTGGACATGTTACGTGGAAGCTTCACTGCCCTGTTTCCCAGGGTTGCAGGAGGTGTGCTGGGATGTGCACTATTACAGTGAGCAGAGAGTTACTGGTGAATATGGGAGAGAGTTTTAGGACCAGGCTTTTTACACATTACAGTTTCAACGTTAGTATTGGCTACTGCTGCATGAAGGAGGTCACCCTGGTTTGCAGTGTGTCAAGGTGTTTATTTTGAATGCTCCTCAATGTGAGGTAACACTGATATTCCAGTCAGGAGGTAGTATATCTGCAGGAAGATGTTCTCCTTTGCTCTGTAGATGAGGTCTTATTTGTGTATTAGCACTGCTTTTCATGTGAACATGCATTACTTTGAAAGGACTTTATTCCATGACTAGAATTTATGTTTTTAGTTTTAGAAATAAATTTAACTGTTGTAACATCAGAATCAAGATTTCGGCAAGAGAAAAATATGCTTATAAATTAAGAACAGAGGAAGAATGAAATGGCATTTAACAATGGGGTAACACATTCTGTGCACATTCAGACATCTCCCCTTTTACTGGCTCTTGCGCAGGGAGTGAATGCTTTTGCTTTGTGTCCAGGCTGCAGGTTTAGGGGAGAGAAAGCAAAACTACACATTTTCTGCAAGGAGGAGCTATAACACAGATAGATCCAGTTCAGAGAAAAGGAAATGTTTTCTTCCAAATCATTACATTCACAAATTCTGGATGAGCATAAAACTGTGTAGTTTCACCCTGAATGCTTTTCAAACAGAATGTTTCTTTCCAGAGTGCACATCTCATATCAATGTAAGTAAAACAGCATAAATGTCACGCTCATTCTGTCCAAGTAGCATAGTTTTGTTCTCATGCAATGGGAGCAGGTGGTGGGAGGTTGTTTTGATGAGGTGAAGAAGCTCCTCCCCTCTTTCCCCAAGCAGCAGCCTAATCTGCGTCAGCAGTAATTGTGTGCCTAGCACTGCTTTCAGTGAGGGTGAGTGCAAAAGATACATCAATACGAGGTATCAAACTGAGGCTTAGATGTTCCTTTTAAGTGGCTGCTCATTTCCTTGAGCCATAACATGGGCTAAAGGTTAACTTACACATTCTCCGTGGAAGAACAATTTCTTTTTTAGGAAGGGAGACGGAGAGGGGAAGGGCGTTGTTTCATATGTGTTCCTACCTATAGACTAAATGTGATGTACAGTGCCGTTCATGCAGATTTTTTTCCCACCGGATTATTTGCTAATCAGACTTCAGTGCAGTGGAGATAAGAGAGACTGTTGCCTAGCTAGGAGGCTCTGCCGAGCGCCCGAGGACCGACGCAGCTGCCGCTCTCCGGCTCTTGGCGTGTCTCCGCTGCCGCCTCCCGGCCCCCGTCAATGGGCCTAGCGCGGGGGAGCTGTCCGAGGTACTAGGATGCTGGCTGCGCGGGGGGTCAGGGCAGCCGGATTGCAGCAGGAGAGGAGCCCCACAGTCCTGCTGGCACCCGAAGGTAGGCTTGCTCTTTGTTTGAGAATCCCTGATTAATCAACAGCAGCATCAACAGACTGAGGCAGCTGGAGAGAGCAAGCCTGCCTCTAGTCACGGGGGAGAGAGAGAGACGATACCACAAGCTAGACTGCCACAGACCTTCTGTATCTAAGTGGCAATGAGAGTGCGAGCGTCTTTCCTGCTGCAAGAAGCCATTTGGATAGGATGTTTTCTATTCCTTATATTCCATTCTTTTTGTCTCCACAGAACATATTCAAATGAGGCACCTTAGAAATCTCTGTGTTAGTGCATATGATGGTGCTGTAATCTTCTGTGTTGTAAAGTGGGTAAAAATCATCCAGTTTCTTCTCTGCTGGACCTCAAAGCAGGGTGTTGTTTATACCCTCCCATTATTTGTACCCTCTCTTCTCTGAATGTGGATTTAAAGAAGCAAGCACCTGTCTTCTCCTGCCACTGCATTTTTTAAAAGCCAAACTTTCCATGCCATTTTAATTATATGTTAAGAAGATCTGTAACGTAACACACTGACTTATAGTGATGTCCAATTCTACAATCTGGGCAATTTTGCCAACAAGATTTAATGCACTTTAACTGAAGAAAAAACTGAGCCTAACTGCAAATCTGTTTCTTATGGTGCTGAAATATCCCTTCCGACTGCACTGAGATAACCACAGGAAAGGGCTTTTACAGGCAAAAGTCACCTTTGATTATTGCACTTAGCAGTCCCCGTGGACTTAAATTTTGGTACGTACATATTTTAATACATTATATGAGCATGCTAATAAAATATAGTGCTAATTAGAATGAAAAAATTGCAAAATGAAATAATGAGTAGTCAGAATGCATAATGATGAACTTGCATGTATTTTTAGGAGGTATTAATCAAGCCATTGCAAAACTAAAAGCTGAAGTCTATTTGACCGGTTTTGTGTACTTCACATGTTGATTGTGCTTGTAATAGAGACATTTTGCAGCTGGATATTTTTGTTTGTAAAAAGCACTGTTAAATAATTAAGAATATTCTTTGCTATTTTCTGATTAATTAGTTGAAATAATTTCTAACATCTATGTTAGTTACTTATCAGACCCGCTGCACCATTAATATTTTACAGCATCTTAACGTGATGCTGATGGTAGTGAAATCTCCATTTCATTTTCTTAAGGTAAAAAAATACATCCATCAGCAAGAAGCTCATTCTTTCTTCTGAGTTCAAATACACTCCTGTTTGCATACAGAATGTGTTTATATGTCTCTGTGTTGTGTGGTTTTATTTCTTCTTGTTGTTCATAAGCCTGCTGCATAATACTGGGATGATAAAATGTCATAATTGCACTTAAGTGCTGGCCATTCTAAATCTAGTTTTGTAATTGTCCAACATCTGTGTGGTTAGGAGGAAGCATTATTTTCCTTGGGATAAAAGTGATAAAAGTGCTGCTGTATTGCAAAGTAAACAACAGCTCTTTACATTCTGGAATCATACAGGAGTCACTGTTAGCAAAGACTTTTTTCTGTTTCAAAAGACACTAGCAAGGGAACCAGAATTCAAGGCTCAGGGTATTTTTTTCAGTTCTTAAAACTACAGGGAGCATAACTTCCCCTATGAAGGGTGGAACATCCATAGAAATGGACTATTTCTTTAAAACCATGCAGTAGCATTCCCATTCTACTGAAGGAGCCACTTTTAACCTCTTTAAGTGAAGGGCTTAGCACTACTTAGCTTCAGTGATTTCACCCAGGTGCTAGAGCTCATGCTGTGCAGTATAATAAGGACAAAGTATATAATCTGCAATCCCAGTCAAAATACAAAGTATATTTTGTACTTCCAAATGAATGTAGTGGTTTTTCTTTAAATATCTGCATTAAAAGTTGTCAAATTATATACAGTAGGAAACTTGCAATCTATTTCAGAAGGTCTTTCCTCTTCAACATTAGAATGTAATGCATCACTGTGTAAAAACAGTAATGCAGCTCATTGTTAAGAATGAGCAGGGAATGCAACTCTAAAAAGCATGTCTTAGCAATTTGTCTCATCAAATTCAAGTGTCTGGTATTTCAAAGTTCACTTGGTATAAGGCACAGCTATGATAAGAGAGTTTTGCAAAGTAGTCTCTAATATATTTTTTCCATCACTGAATTTTTCTTGGTTGCAGTGAAAGTATTCTTTGTACACCCGACACCATTAGGTCCTTATTAGTGCTGCTGTGGTCAGCAGTTTATGAAAATTGGATATGGCTGGTCTGTCTACTTTGCTCTTACTGCCTTGCAAGCACCTAGAGTGCCACAGCTCAAACTTGAGGGTTGAATGGCTGATTAGCATCCTTGATTTGTGCAGAAACCTTCTGATATGCTGAATTTAGTGGTGGGAATTGACAGGTAATTTGAAAGCAGATGTGCTCTCAAAGAGAGGAGGCAGAATTTGGGAGACAGGCAGGACTGGAGAGGTGTGTAGACCTCTTATAAATTAGAGGTTGGACTCAGGACTTTGGGCAACCCCACTCTTGTGCTTCCAGGCTCTGTTCTCCTACATTAAAATTAAAAAAAAATAAAAAAAATAAAAAAATCCCTCTGGTTTGGAAGAAGGCAATCAGTGCCTTTGTCATTACTTCAAAAAGCTCCTTCAGTTTAATGTCAGCATTGCCAATTTTCAATGCAGCACAGCTGCGGCTTATGGCTGTCAAGCATGCTGAAAAGCAACTGATATTTTGGGGATCCTCATGTGAATAAGAGGGAGAACATGTCTGAATATTAACGTATAGCACCACTTTGATACTGGGTCGATTACTCCTCATATTCTGAATTCAATATTTTTGCACACTGATCGTATGAAAAGGAGGTGGGTTTGGGTTTGACTAAGAATGCTGTATGTTCAGTATCAGAGAAAATAGTTAAATTAGAAGTAAGGTATGCAAAAATCTTATGAAGGACAGTGCATTGTTCTCCCATAAAAATTGTGTCTCAATCCACACAAAGATCTCAAATTTAGTTATGTAAATATTTCTAGGAAAACCAGTAAGGGGACTGCTTGCCCTTGCCAGTAAACCAGATGCACTGGCAGAGAAGAAAAATATATAATTCTTGCTTGTTTTACTCCTCCCATGCTGACAGCTGATTGCATGGGCCACAGCAGCGTGAGCTGCTCTGTGCTGCTTTGCCAATTTCCCTCTGATTTGGGGATACCTGGAGGGGCAGGTGCCAGTGAGCATGACTGGCTTTTCTTAGTGAGGTTTCACATAGTGTTGGTTTGACCTTTAAGAGACGAAGGGAACATGTCAGAGAACTCCTTCTTTGTGTCCTTGTACTCAAGTGGATTTCCAAAAATGATCGTGTTCAGTGAACACTCGCAATAAAGTTCCTCCAATCAATTTCTGTTGACTTCTCTATGCTGACTTCAATGGCTGAAATCCAGGGCTTTTCCTCCTCCCCACTGTCTCCTTCTGTTCCTTCATAATAATGAGGGGAAGAGAAAGGCGCGTCAAAAGAATTTCCCAAACAGAGCAACTCCCAGTTAAAATTTTCTAGGGATGCTTCATTTCAGAAAACAAAATGGACTGAAAACAATTTGATTACAAATATACAGGTGACCCTGTATAGTCCTTGTCACCAGCTAACAAAATATCTGACCACAGTGTGCGTTAGGGGTACCAAAATGGTGGTACCTCACCTACAGCTTAAATTACTTGTTTAACAACTTGCACTTGCATATTTTTAATCAAATATAAATGTACTCAAACAGAACATTTGCTTGTACTTGTATGTGCCCTGGCAGATGGTTAGGAATTGCTCACTGCCTGAGCTTACCAGTCAGCAGAACCTTTGATCAAAAGTTGATCAGTGCTGTCCACACGTTCTCCAAGGTGACAAGCAAGCAATGCGTGGGACTCGATGGGCCACATGTAGTGCTTGCAACCTATTGCCATTATAAAGCTCACTTATTAAGGTAACATAGTATCTCTGAAGTGGCATTACTACCTGAAGAAAAAAAAAAATCAGTCCTGGTGTGCTGTACAAGGAATACTAATACTGTAGAAATGTTTACAGTAATTGTTTAAGCTTTTTGCTCCAGTTGTTTGCATTTTTACTCCCTGTTTAAGCATAGTATGTACAACCGTCCAATATTAGTAAATGCAATGAGGCTGTAAAATACCGTGCATGCAGGAGATATGTGGGTTTTGATCCAGGAAACGCTTGCTACTTGTATAGATGCTTTTTAGAGTTACTGCTGTAAGAGCTGAATCAAGGTTTTGAAATATCTGGGAGCTGCCCAATGGTACCTCTAGGAGTACCTCAAACTGTATTTCATGTCACGAGCATGCAAGCATCAACAGTCACAGGAGGAGTTCAGTAGCTACAGTTGCTCAGTACCATTGCAGGATTGGACCCCTGTTAGGACAAAGAATATATCTTGATCTATTTATGACATATTGTTTAAAATTTTGGCATTCTGTATGAGTTTAGTAATAGATGACATCAGCGATAAACCAGTATATAATGACTATCTGGTCAGTGTGTGCAGTAGAATAAAGGCTTTTTTATTTCAGTCTTTTTCCAATTGGAATGACTTTATTCTCTCACATGAAAAATAAATTTCGTAATAAAAGGAGATTCAGCATATCCTTAAGTGTCAGCTCATTTTTGACCTCCAAAAAGACAGGGAAATGATGAGGGGGAAAAAAAAAAAGCATATTGTTGTCATAAAAAACAGTGTTAAGCAGATTGAGTTCTATATGTCTCTGGGAAAAATGGATCAGAACTGCATTTATTGAAAGCCTGCTGAAGTTATCTTCAGTGTAAAATTTCATATTATATTTCAGTAGTAAAATCTGATCCCTGGAGTAATCAATGGCAAAACTGCTATTAAGGTCACTAGGATGGGGTTTCTCTGTTGTACAGGTTTATCTGAATTTAATTCAGCATATGCAGAAAGTAGGCTTTACTAGAAGTCCAAAATGGAAAATATAGTGAAATAGCTATGTACTGGGGGAATGGCCCAGATTTTAACCATCAAAAAGCAGATACTATTTGAGAAGTTTGGAGACAGTGGAGTTAGAGCTGTTTATGCTGTTAGCATTGTTTTTACTTGGGTAGACTTCATGCTATAGACAGAGACTCTCAGGAAGGGGCTATGGTATCTGGACTCTTCTTAGGCAGAAAGGTTGGTCTAAAATCATGTCTACTGAAGCATCAGTAACATTGATACAGTCTGGTTTAGCTCTTTGTCAGCTTGCCAATTCACTCTGTTGCAGATACCGTGCCACTTATGGTGAATATATAGAATAGCTCAATACATATTCCAACCCAGTAGAGTTCTAAACACTTCCAACATGCAAGCTGTGTGAAATGCATGCATGCATGTTGGGCTGCACTAAGACCTCCTTTGCTGGTTTTACCCTGCAGGGATTAGTAGGAGATACCTACACCCATGCCTGAAAATAAGATCAATTTAGTGACCCTGAACGTCAGCCTTACATTTATGTTTGGGCTTAGTTGATAGACAAGGTTGTCCTGGGAGGTGGAAAAGGTGATAGGAGCAGACCCTTTGCACCTTCTGAATCTTCATCATTTTAACAGTCAAGTTACCATCGTACAGAAATAATTTTGATAGAGACGTGGAGAGCAAGGTAAAAAAATTATTGGTGTGTTTTTTAACTGCCTGAAACCAGTGCTTGTTGCTCTTGCCACTTGAAGTGATCAAAAACAGGGGAAAAAGTATTCAAGGGTGGAAAAGTATTTCTTTCTTTTCTTTTCATCCCTTTCAGATCGCTTACTCCATGGATGTAAAAGCATTTTGTTCCCATGTTCAGGTCTGTGCCTGAAAGCCCAGACAGGATTGCTGGAGTCTATAAGAGCTTTTAATTTATTTATTTTTAGAATCAATGCCTACCCCGATCAGAATTTTACTTGTCTAGCAGTGTAATAAAAACTATAAATATGGCAGTATATTAGGAAATGGAGGAAAGATTTTTGTTGCTGATTCCACAGGGACTCTGCACCTAAAATCCATGTGCAGGCAGGATGCTCATTGTCTTTTCAATAAGATCACTCCTAGTTGCAGGGCTGGCATCGTTCTCGGGCAGATTCCGAGAAGTCACACCATCCTTCTTCGGGGAAGGGAGGGATGCTCTAGTAGTCAAGAAGCACATATGCCTTAGAGAGCTGAGTTCAGCTGCCAGCATGTCACTTGGTCACTCTGCATCAAGTCTTCGTTTGTAAGATGAGGACCCCCCTCACAGGGCTGTGTGAGGATAATGCTGCTCAAGATTGTAATGTCTCAGGACCTTACAGTAATCAATATTTTTAAAATAAGAAGATAATACAATTCTGTTCTGTTACTTGTTTAATAAGTAGTTCATCCAGTTGTACAGAATTTAGATAGCCAGTATGTTTCTTGAAATTATACCTTGCATTTAGTCACCTGTGATATTTACTGATGTGTCTATACACCAGAGTTCTCATGACTCCCAGGGCATCTGCTGCAGAGTGGAAAACCTTTGGGGCCTTTCTGAGAGCTTTTTAGGCTGGAGCCAGGAGTGACCTAGGGATCTAAGCATGTCTGTGCTCCATGCTGCCTAGCTGGAGGTGCTGTAAACCCAAGTGTCTGTCATAAGAATTAATTCAAGGGCTTTAGAGTTCTGAAGGTCCAAGCTCCACTAGGATTTCTTGTTTGCTCTTGGAGCTTCAAGCTAACAGGCTGTCGAGCAACAGATGACCAGGGCTTATGAGCTGATATCTACGTTACTAAGACATCTAGGAAACTATTTCACAATATTTCTTTCCAGATTTTGAACCTGAAGAAAGATTTGAACTTTTTTGTTCCAAAAAAAGGAACAATGTTTTCCACCTGAAATTTGGAATATCCTGCAGAATAGCAATTTTGTCTGGTGATCTGCTCTGGTGCAGCTTTATCTACACTGTTGTTCTGGGATGGAAGCCTTCTCAGTCTAATTCAAAATGAGGTTTGGGGAGGTCAGTGTTGTTGCAAATGAAGGGTATTAGGAAAAGGGAAGGGGTGGGGCAAAACTTTTTGGGATTTGAACAATGTATAACTAGATGGATTTGCATTGCTTGAAAGAAGAGATTCTTGGTTTTTATCTCCTCTTGTCTCGAGTAATGTTGTTCTTGTGTTCTGAATTGCTTTATTATCCTATAGACAGGAGAAAGTCTAAAAAATTGTCTCTTACAGAGATGTTAATTACAATTGACACAATCTTGCTGTCATAATGCATAAGCTATTTTCCTACTGATTAAGGTATTATGTGTTTTTCAACCTGCAGGAAACGTTGCTTTCCTTTGTTCATTATCTCCTGCAAGATGATGAGTTCTAATCAGGAGGAGGTCACTTTGGGCGCTTTTCTCCAGTATATTGAAGATATGGGGATGAAGGCCTATGATGGCTTGGTTATACAGAATGCATCAGACATTGCTCGAGAGAATGATCGCATGAGGAATGAAACAAACCTGGCTTACTTGAAAGAAAAGAGTGAAAAACGCCGAAAACAAGAAGAAGCAATAAAACGGTAAATATTTTGATAAAAAAGATGAGTAGTATGGCAGAGTGAATGAACAGTGAGGGACTCAGTTTCAGATATGTTAAACACATGTAGACTAGTTGATTTCAAAGCAGCTTGCTGGCAAAAGCAGTACAGACCCATGTATCCATTGGCCCATGTCAGGCTGCTAATTGCATATGTTTTACATTGTGTAGAAATGATGATGTACAGTTCTACTACCTTCAGCGGAAAAGAGTATTCCCATCCAAATGTATTCAGTTTAAGCATGTGTGGCATCTTCAGCAGCTGTGATTTGTGACAAAGAGTTTAGGTGTTTCGAATAAGAGATGTAAACTTAACGGAAATTAGGTCCTCATCAACTCAGTGCTGTGAGATGGACAGAGTGTACTTTGTGCAAAGATATATCGGTGTGTGAGCTCTTGCAAGACAGGCACAGCCTTACAGATCAAAATAGACACTCCTTGAGCTGATGTTTTAAATCTGGTAATTTTCAAAGCTCTCTAATTGCTGTCTGAGGTTTTACAAAAAAAAGTCTGTTGTTTGTGATTCCTCACTGTTCTGCGTGCTCTGAAGTCAGTAAAAATATTGCAATCATTTAAAGGAAAATGGATCAAGCCCCTGATGGGCAGAACCCTGTAATGGCTCTTCTTGAATAATTCCATTGATTTTAATTGACAGTTAATGAGAGGAGCACTCACATGACCTGGCCTCTTGTGTCAATGGATAACAATGAAATCTCTGCAGCCTCTTGGAGAGGAAAAGAAGGTTGAATGGGATAAATATAAATATTTATTATATATGCATTTGCATATTAAAAAATGTGTTTTCTTGAGGAGAGGGACAAATTGTATAATACAAGTAAATCATCCATCCAAATGCTAAACTTTAATATGTAAATGGATGGCTTAAGCACAAACTGATAGGTCTTTTGAATATTTTCCTCCAGTGTGACTCTTCCGTATTTCAGTTTAAGTGATTAAATTTTATGCTATGTCTTGGGTACTGTACATCCAGGTATACCAGACATGCTGGGCTGTGAACGTTCCAGCAATGCCTCGGTAGTCTGGTAATTTTGATGGAATGTTTAAAGCAAAAGAGCAGCATGTACAGTTTGACAGAGGAGGGAGAAGCAGCAATGTAAAGCAAAATCACGGCTGCTTTCTGTTCCAGGACGTAGATTATTTTTTTTTGGATTGTCACTAATTTGGTTGGGGGGATAAGACCAATGTGAAATTAAGGTGAATAATGACAGCCCATGCAAACGTGTATTCTGGTACCTTCTGGACTTTTATCTTGCCAGCTCAACTTTTGGGTGATGTTTAGGGGGATTCAAACTATTGCGGAGTCAAAGGCATAGGCTGCTTGTAGCAGGAACTATGCTATGCCAATGTCATGAGAGAAAATGTTTTTCCTTGCAGCAGATTAATGTAGGAGGGTGGGGTTTTGTTTTGATTTATGCTGGATACACATATTGTTTCATTCTAGCTATTTTTATTCAGTGTTCATCTCTCTCTCTTTTGATTACTGAATAGTTACATAAACTGCAAAATTTCCAAGAGGAAAGGGTAGGGAGACCCACCTCAAAATATTTCTTCATATGATGGAGAGGGAAGTTAAGTTCTAGTTACATGAGGCAGAGGAAGAATTTGAATCTGTCTCACCTGCTAAGGGAGCGCGTACAAAAGTGGTAGTCAATAAATTGCTGGTTTAAATTAGTGAGATGAAGAGTACTTTCTCATCTTACATTGCTGGCTCTTCCCCACTGAGGAAAATAATAATAAAACAAAGGTGTAAATATTTTTAATTTATTGAAACTTCACTATTTGATTACTTTAGAATTGGCTGGAAAAATTGTTGTCCTTGTGGCAACTTCTTCATTTCATGACTATATTTATATGTTAAACTGTCAATGTATACAGATGTATTTAGAATATAGTTTTCAGAGTTGACAGCTAATTAGGCTGTGCTCTTGCTAACCTGTTTGCATACACTTCAGTGTTTGTGACCATAAAGGTCACTAAGTGCCAAAACAGGTTTTGTTATGCATCAGTTTCTTGGGGCACGAGAGAGTAAGTTGTGGACCTATGTGGTTCTTTATGGTCCTCTATCCAAGCTTCTCTACCTAATTTGAATGGCGGTAACAGTATTTCCTACTTTGTGGTTGGTTTGTGTGGTTGTATTTATTGATCTTGGCAAAGTGATTTGATGAAGAGCTCTGGATAAGTGCAGTGATTTAGGGCTGAGCCAAACCATGAAATTCTTGCTCATGCTAAACCGAGATCTGTGAGAACAGTGCTGTGCTCCCCAGATAGAGAGTCAGCAGACACAAGGAAGATTACCAGCAGTATAGTGGGTTTATCAGAGGAACAGCACGTATATGTATGTGGATTGGAGGCATTAACATTTCTTGGATATAGTGCTCTTCTGTGGGAAACCATGTTTGCAGTGGTTCCCTCTACTCCCACCTCACTTGGCTTATCTCAGTAACATTGAGGGTGTAAACAATATCCGTCTGATGAAACAAACTAGCAAAACCACCTTAGGAAATCTTGGAAAACGCTGCCTTCAGTCTTTTTATCTGTCTTTTTCCTGTGTAAGCTAGGAGGGGGGAAAACAAGGTATTTTTGATCAACCCTTGATTAGGAAAACTAAAAGCAGTGGCAGACCACAGGAGAACATCTGATTTGACTAAAGGAACCATGATGTCTGAAGTCACTTAGGCTGATTGCAGTTGAGTCTGCTCCCTGTAGTAACCTCTAGACATTCATCCAAGGCCATGCTGTCTATTGAAACACAGCAGTCAGGAAAGGTAAAGTAGGATTATTGATTTCTTCTTTGTTCTGTACTATTTTTCTTATGTTTTTACCTTATCTTGGTGGGTATTTATATTATCCTTAACTCCTGATAGTGTGGCAAGGATAGCAAGTGGTGCACATGTGCAATGATAACAGTGCTACCAGTCTGGAGACTACCAACCGCTGAAAACATTCTCCTTAGCAACAAGGGAGTCATCCCGTGTGATTAACCGCAGGTAGATTTTGAACAGGAGAGGGGTTCCAGCACCTAACAGTCTGATTATTGAATTTCGGAGAAGCTATTCAATTTTAGTGTTCAGATGGTCTCTTTTAGAAGGCTGATCATTTACATTAACAACATAGTAATGAGTAATTTATTATCTAATAAAGTGGTGATATTCACACACAACACTATTTAGAAGCAGCTGTTATTTACCTAAATCATCTCATAACCATGCTGAATGTCTTAAAAGTTCATTGAAATGCATTAGTCTGAGCAGTATGGAAACAAGATCTGAAAAATGACCTAAAAAGAAAAAGCCCTTTGATTGTATGTTTTGCCTTCCTAAGGATACATTGTGTGGTGTTTCTTCAGTAGCACTGATGTACCTTCAGTGTGATTGCTATCTCATCGTGTGTGGTTCCGATAGGTTAATTGGGGGGAAAAATGCATGGATCTATTGTGCATTGCAGGGAATAAAACACGCTGGATTGGATTGGAGAAAAAAAAAAAGCAACTAGTCTTTGTCTGATCTTGCTGGGCTGTCAGCTGATCTGATCTGAATTTCTGACCTAATTTTAATATGGTACTTAGCGATCATGCAGAGAAAATAAGGTTAATGTGCTGATCAGTAGCTGAGAGTAAGCCACAATAAATATGTTAATGTGTACACATATATTTTGGGCCGAATGTTTAGACCTTTTTTCTTCTATCTTTTATTTGTCTGGTCTCACTGCTTGATCATTCGTTACTTGTCTGCTTAGGCGGCTGTGCCCAGACCAAGAGAACATGCTGGCATATTGCCCACAGAGCTTATAAATTGCAAATAAAGTTATGAAGCAGTATCATTTTCCCTGGCAATAAAGTTGCAGTACGGTGAGATGTATGTTTGCCATGGTACAATGTCTGCCGTAGGCAGCGTTTCCGGGAACAGAAGGTAGATTCGCCTCAGTTGTTATGGGTGCCAGGGAAAAGGTGAGTATTTTGAGTTTAGGGCATCTGTTAGGATGAGCAGTTGCTTTCTGACTCATCCATAATTGAAATACATATATTTAGATACTTTATTATACACAGTCTTGTGTGGATACTTCATTGGTACTTTTTTTGATTGTATAAATACAAAATCTTGGTAAGAAACAAATAATGAACCCCCCTCCTCTGAAGGCTGAGGCACGTTGCATTAATCATAGGGAGTGGCTGGGGTTGTAACACTATGAAGATGTGACTGCTCTGGTGTAAAGCTGATGGTGTTAGCGAGCATGCATTTCTACCTGCCAAATCCTGGATTTAGCCATCAAAATACTTGTTTCTACTTCTAATGGTTTCCCTTACTCATAGCTCATTCCCAGTACCTAAATGGCTCTGGAAAGCCTTGTCTCTGCTTGTTGAGGGAAGTATCCAGACAGATGCTGTCAAGAGGAGGAGCTTTTAGGAGCACTGTTCTGTGCTAAAGCTAACAGAAATGGGCCAGGCAGCCAGTGGCAGAGTTAAGCTCTTGTAATAAAGAAGGAATTGTAATGAACAGCTGTCAGCCTAACCTCTCCTTCCTTTAGCAAATCAAATATTGAAGACTAATTCATCGGCAAAAGTAAGACCAGATTTTTCTCTTGTTGGTTTGTTTGTTTGTTTTAAGGTTGTCAAAGTAATTGAATTTAAGTATTATCTGTCTGTAGTTTTCTGTAGTTTCTGTCCTTAGGTTCCTTCATAAAGAAGATAAAACTTTGTGTCCTTCATCTAAAAGTTAAGTGTTATCAACCATGGGTGGCAGCAAGCAAATATAAAAATATTTCTATGCATGGGATTATTCACTGCCAAAAGCTCTGTTTAGCTGAGAAAATGCGTGTAATCGTTGAGTATATGGATATGCTGAGGTGTTTCTACCAAAAAGATTTCTACTAGAATCAAAAATAACCTAAGTAAAATACTTTCATTATGAACTCACTGTTTATAAAATGTATTGAAATTGGAAAAATACTTTAGGTAAAAGAATG